CTCTGCAGCCCTTTACCTTAGTTCATTACTTCAGACTTATGTGCCTCTAGAAGCTTGCATTCTGCAAGTGAACGTCGCTTTATTGTTCATCCCAAAGAGGCACAAAATTACTTTCACAGACTTTTACATTAACTGTTCCCTCCTGGTGGAATGACCTGAGCAGCTGAGTCGTTAACCATCTTCAAGAATCGGCTAAAAACACATCTGTTCCATCTTTATTTGACCCTCTAACTCTAGCACTCTCTATTCTAACATTGTATCTATTTGTTTTCTTTTTATTTATAAAAAAAAAAGTCACTCTAACACTAGCGTTCCCTATTCTTTTTCTGTTCTATCTACTTGTTTTCTTTTTATTTACTATATTAAAAAAAATTTTTTAAAAACTTGCTACGTGTACTGCGTTAGACTAACCGAGACTTGTTATAGCACTTGCTTATTATTGCTTTTTTGTTGGTTTTGATTGCTTCTATTTTCATCATTTGAATGAAAGCGTCTGCTAAATTACTAAATGTAAATGTATATTTAACTTATATTAAAATATAACAAATATTTTTTTATATATTAAAAAAAAAAAAATTTTTTAATTATTATTATTATTTTTTATTTGTTATTTTTTTTGGCCACAAAAAAAATTGTTTTGCCATATGGGTCTAGCCAAAACCCGGCCACTTAGACATTAGCTATAATATTAGCTAATTTCGATTTCCGATGTCTAATGGTTTGTGTTTCCGTCAGAACGTCCGGACTCGGACCGTAAAGGGAGTCGGGTTGAATCTGTCCGTGGGGAGAATCCCGGGAAACGTCCACAGCAAGTACATGCTCATCGACGGAGATAAAGTCATGTTTGGAACGTACAGGTGAGCGAGAGTTACCTGCTTACAGTCTGACAGAAGCGTCTTCATGTCTCATGCTGTGTTTGTGTCTCTGCAGTTTCTCCTGGAGCTCTTCTCGAATGGACAGAAACATGATCACGGTGATGTCGGGGCAGGTGGTGGATTTCTACGATAACGATTTCCGAGAACTGTACGCCATCTCAGACAAACTGGACCTCTTTAAGGAGTTTCACATCAGTAAGCCCCAAACGGGAACGCTGTCTCGGGCCGCGGTGCCCAAACGCCCCGCAGCGGCCACTTCTCGCTTCCAGGTCAATCTCGGAGACGCGACGCGCGCAGATCTGAAAGTGCCGGCACACAAATACCACAATCCCAAATACCTGCTAGCGCTCGGACAGATCCCGGGACCCACGGAGCCGCTGCAGGACTTCTTCAGTAAGATGGAGCCGGCCGATCCGGAGCCGGAGCCGGAGAATCCCACGGAAGAGCTGGAGAACATCACACCTGTTCCCTCTCAGCCCGAGAAGAAAGAGTCCAAGAAACTCAAAACACTGACTTTTAACACAAAGCGGAGGAAGAAAGGGAAGAAGGACCAGACGAGCGACGCGGTTATTGAAGAAAACACTGCGAACCCTTCAGACGACGCGTCTAAACACACGCTCACCAGAGACGAGACGCAGGACAGCCTCAAAAAGAAGAAGAGAGGACTCATGAGCTTTTTCAGAAGAAGCTGAATGAGGATTGTTTTAATTATACCCGCTGTTTTTAACTCCTGAAGACTGTTAACCCTCATGTTCACAGAACGCGTGACTCCTGCTGTGTTCCTGAGTGTGTTTGTGAGGTGATCGGTGTGAAACTCGAACGCTTCTCAGCTCTGTGTGCACATGTTTGATAGTGATAGTAAAACCTTCTAATGATGTACGAGGCTTGATAAGGAAACCAAGTAATGTCTAAATTACATTAAAGGGGAAGTTTAGGGGTAAAACTGTGTTTCTGATATCTATCATTCTGGAAACCCAAGGGAAAAAACGGTGCATAAAGAGGATGGGTGCACTTTTATTTTACAGTACATGTACTTACATAAGAATGTACTGTAATATACAGTAACTACATGGGGTATGGTTAGGTTTAGGGGTTATTACCTAGTTATTTTAATTACTTAGTATGTACATGTGGAAGAGGACTGCAAGATAAAGTGATACCAAGAGACTATATTTCAATTCAGACAGGTTTATTTGTGTCCTGCTTTTCACATTTATCCCAGCTAACAGAAACATGTATTTCAAGGTTCTTTCAAAGTTATGAACAAACGTTCTTCCAGTTAGAATGTTTGCTCAAAGTTATCTCCTCTTTAATAATGTTTTCAAAATGTTAGTTATTATTTATGTGTCATTCATGGAATGTTGGTGAAACATTTTAGTTGGACGTTTGTGTTACACACTTTTTCAAATGTTACAACTTGTTCAGAGAACATTTAAAAGTAACGTTCCCAAATGGAATGTTTCCTTAATGTTCACATAACCACGAAGAACGTTTTTACGTTAAAAAACTGGAGGCTTTGGACGTTGCATTAAGAAATAATGTTTTCAAATCTGGGAACGTCAGCAAAACGTGATAACATTTTTGTTAGCTGGGCACATCGTTTCAGATCAGCTGTGCAGGATCTGCATTATATTATTCACTTCTAAAATTTCAGACTGAATTTTATTTTAGGCTTTGGTTAAGTCTGGAACCAAAGTTGGTTATGGTGTAAAAAAAAACTGTTGTATAATCATTTTTTGCTAACTTCCTCTTGACTTCAAACACAAACACATGTGCTCTTCAAACCCCACCTACTAAAGACACATCAGCCAATCCGATGTCAGATGAGCCAAATAAACAAAATGATTGACAGGTCATTTTGTGGTGAAGAAACTCAAAGTAGTTTCTGATGAGCTCATGATGAGTGACGGTCCTTTATAGACGCGCTGCGCTCGCCCTCTGCTGGTGGATCTGAGCATCTAACACACTTCCACGATTCACTCGCGATAAATCGTGCGATAACAGCCTACGATCTCGTGAACTTCACAGGAGAGCACATGAAGCGCGTCGTTTGAGACACGGCCAGAAATGCACTTCTGCTTTTGTTCAGTGTGTGACATTGTTTAGCTGGATCTTTCTGTCGGTGTGTGTGTGTGCTGCAACAGCTCTGACCACAAAAAGGATCCGTGGATTTACTGCAATAGCTCTGAACAGGAAGTGACCACAGATGAGTGTTAATGTAATGAGCTACACTCCAGTGTTTTAGTCAAGACCAAGACAAGACCTGGCACTATACAGAGCTGTTACCAATCAAATGAACCAATAAATTCATCTTTGCACTGCAGAGGTGGAACAGAAGTTGCATCCGAATTGGTACAATTACAACTGCGTGAATAATATTGTGAGATGAATGTTTTATATATACAATTTTGAATATAGAAATGTGATTACAAAAAATATATATACTTTTAAATATAAAAAAAACTAAATCCATCTTCAATAAAATCCCACGTCCTCTTAGTCTGAGGCCTGGCCAAGACTGAAACCTTCGAAGACCGGACTACATTCACAAATGAAAATATAATTAAAAAAAAAAATACATCTGTCCATCAGAGAGCATCAGTTCAGCATCCACTGACCAGATGAACACGATGCTCCTCATGGACTCAAGCTGATGTTATTGAGATGATCTCAGCGACAGTGAAACTGCTTGTGTTACTCCTTAAATCAACATCATAAACATGATTCAGTTTCCCTGGACCTCCATGAAGCCACCGGCAGATGTCACATGCTGAGGTTCTGATGGAGGAAGTGAAAGCGATGAGGTCATTTCACGTTTCCCTTTTTAACTGTTGCTGTTGCGTGAATAAAGACCAGAGCACAGAGCTTTCATCCTTCCTACAGACGCTAGAAGATTCTATTCCTGTTTGATTCTGCAATCATCTTTAGTGACACAGGTTCATCTTCCTCTAAAACTCTATGAGATCACGTTTCAGAAGTTTAAAATAACACACACACACACACACAAACACACACACATTAACACTCGCTCACACACACACACAGACAAACACACGCACACACACACACACACACACACACACTAACACACATACACACACACAATCTATCAATGGTCATTATATATGTTCATTACAAAAACAAATTGCTTCAGGCACAAAGGTACATTTATAACAATTTGATTATAACAATTATTTAAATGGGGATTCATCCCAAGGCTGCAGTTATTTGATCAAAAATACAGTAAAAACAGTGAAATATTATTACAATCTAAAACAGCTGTTTTCTGTGTGAATATCTGTTAAAATTTAATTTATTTCTGTTAACAAAGCTGTATTTTCAGCATTATTACTCCAGTCTTCAGCATCACATGATCTTCAGAAATCATTCTAATATGCTGATTTGCTGCTCAAGAAACATT